AAAATAATAACAATTCTTACTGTACCACAACCGCAAGCCAATTAAATAAATCTGGAGTAAACAATCATTCAAAACTAATACTCTATAAAATAGTAGAAATCAAGACATAAGCCAACCTTCAGTACTCACACCCCTAGTTTTTCTTTTCAGGCTAAAATTAAATTGCATATAATATTTAATTACTTAATAACGCGCACGGACACCGGTCATAAATGGAAGCTTTACCGTGCGTAAAAATCCCACACAAGAATGAAAGACACTTTTTTGTGAATTTTGTATACTACATTTCCTACAACTTCGTAAAAAGGAGCTGTCTTCGATGATTTATTATTCCTAAATATCAATGACAATGCAATTTCTTACCCAATATTCTTCCAATGTATACCGTTTTGAAAAAGTGACACGTAACTGAAAAAAAAATCTGGTTACGAGAGGTTATGATCGACGCGTGTACGACAGGACAGATGCGAAAAATCAAAGATTGGCTACGCATCTTTGAAATTGCAACAGGATAGACAAAAGTTTTTCGAGGTTAATGAAAGTTTTTAAATATATATGTGGGAATTTAAAATAATAAAAAATAAAGAGAAAACGTCTAATACTCCGTTCAATTCGCGTTGGTTCAAAATACGGTGGTGGTGGGGGAAGCCGCAGGTTGAGTATAGATCAACTAGTAAGCTACGAGTAGTTTCAGAAATAAAAACGCAGCTGTTAAAACCTGCCGACAGTTTGTTCAAATTTTCAGTGTTATGAAGATTATTTATTTATTTATTTATTTATTTATTTATTTATTACTACATTTTTTCCTAACAGAATAATCCTTATGAGGCAAAATCAATGAAAGAACACTAACGAAAATAAAAATAAAAATATAAATATAAGTAATAATGAAAATTTACTGGAACATTTTCCGAGGGTTTAACGCTTAATGAAAAATTTAACCAAGCCTCCAAAAGAGGTGAAAAAGAAATCAATGGGCTGAAGATATAAATTGACCGCTCTGGAGATAACATCTATATATGTATATGACTTAAGCCATAACTTGTCTAGTAATATTGGATAGCAAGTATCTTCTTAATTTTGCGATGTAGCTTTGGAACCTTGACATAAAAAAGTGTAGAACTTGAGGACAGTCTATTGTATTGTAAATACTTTACGGCAAAATTTAATAGCACAGATGTCTTTTCGATACGGTAGAGAACCATATAATATTGAAGTATTCAATTATCGGTAAAACTAACATTTTGTATAAAAGAACTAGACATAATAAATTTGAAAAATCTCTACAATGAGCTGTTATAAACCCACACAGACTGAACACCCTTTGGACTATACTGTCTGTATGTTCATCAAAACAAGGTTTAGAATCAAAAGTTACGCTTAAGTCAGATTACTCTTTACTCTTTTTACGTACACTTTAGACAGTACTGAAATATTATCTTGGGAAATTTTCTAGTGAAAGTAGTAATTTTATGTTTATCAAAATTTAATAAAACATTATTTAACTCACACCATCTAATCAAATTGTTAATATCCTTTTGAAGTTTAAGACAATCATCCCATATATGTATACTGTAATAAATTTTAGTCATCTGCACACAATACGTAGGAACAGTATTCAAATTGGTAAGAAACATCATTAATAAATAACAGAAAGAGAACTGGGCATGAAATGCTTATCTTGTGGAAATTCTCATGTGACTGTGAATGATTCTGATAGATAATTCTTAATATTATAATACGCCTGTGAGCGATTTGAAAAATAAGATGCAATCCAATTTAAAAGATTACTTTTTATTCCAAACAATTTAAGTTTTCTTAATAATATTCGACGGTCAACTGTATCAAATGCTTTTCTGAAATCTGTATAAACCGGAATAGGTTCCACGGGGCATTTAAATAGGAAAAATAGCTATAATGAGTTTAGAGAGCTATGAAATGTTTTAACAATTTGATCACTAATTAATGATTCAAAAACTTTAGAATAACAGGAAGGTTCCCAAATCTTAGGAAAAACTGCTGTTTTTAACGAATGTAGGAAAATATTGATAATAGGTTGAATGAGAGATGAACTGGACATATTAATGAAGTAAGGAGAAATATCGTCATGAAAGAAATTTTTAAACTGCTTAGTTTATCGAATACAATATTTTCGCTAATTTCCACGTTAGAAAGACAATCACAGTAAACTGACTTAAAGAAGTCAGCAAATAAGTTGGCAGTAGTAACAATGTTTTCGAGACTTTGTCATTCTAGAACGTTGTAGGTGGAAGAAAATTTGTCTTTAATAAAGTGTTCTTCATCAATTTTCAGTATTCTACTAAACACAGCTTTTTTTGTTCCATATTTGAGATTGTCAATTTTCTTGTCTCCCTATTTGTCTGACACGAGTCGCTTCTTATAGAGTCGTACGAAGGTAATAATTAATTTATTTATAAATAAAACTTCCTATAAGTTGTATGTATTCCCGACTAACTTTTCACTATGTATTTCAAAAATGAATTTAGTAAATGAAAATATTTTGTTCCATACAAATAATTGCAAATTGCAGTTAGACAGAAATAATAAAATATAGCAAGGATTTTCATTTTAGTGGAAAATGCCGTCTACAATAAACTAAACGCTGTTAAGTGTTTCAATCTGATCTACACCACAACGCGATGGGTTGTTCACTTCGCGCTTGAGCCTGGGAATTAATAATTTATGACGGGTTCCACCTTGTTGGTATCCAGACGTCTTAATAGCTTTCTCTTTCCAGACGCTGCGGAAGGTTTATCCAAACGTCGCTTTATAGCGCGATTGCGCCATTCTGCTCGTTTATGTACTTAAATCACAACAGTACTTAAATCCGAACGCTGTTTGAACAGCATCGGCAAACGTTCGACCAGCAACAAACAATAGTGGAAAAATTCGTGTTTGACGATCCATTAGAGCAACACTTCAATTTCCACGCGATATACGAGAACTGAAACTTCCCACCGTGAATGTGAATTCGGAAATATTAATAATTTGGAGTCGCTTGAGAAGCTTAATTTACTGTTTCACGGACTGCCGCCCCATTGAGGTGTTTTTTTCCGCCCGAACAGATGTCGGCTCGTGTTATCGATTATAACGAAAGTTGTGGCGATGTTCGGTAAAGACTAGACGCAGTGCGTGCGTCGTCGACGGCGGCGGCGGCGGCGGCGTCGCCTCGATCGATACGAGTGCCTGCCGGTGGTGGTATCGAGCTGTGGCCGTGGGGCAGGTTAGTCGAGGGTCAAGGACAAACGGCAGAGAAGCGGCCGCCGCCCAAACACTCTCACGCTCCATACGACATGTTTACAATAGGGGCGGCGGCGACGTGAATTTTTTCTTTTCGTTTTATTTAGCGAATTACTTTGCCTCATTTTAAAAACTGCCAATTAGCTAGCAGTATTATCATTAGATGTTAAATGAACTCGTCAAATATTTTGCGGTCCAAATTAATTACATAGTTGCGCGGTTCCTGTAAGTTAACTCTGAACTAAGTATTATAAAAAATGTTTATGTTCAAGTATTTTACGAACAAAGTATACAGTATACCAATTATATTCGTTTGTCAGTGACATACCGATATGCAATAAAAAGCAAATTTAATAACATGTTGAATGTTATATATCTAATAATGGGATCCACTTCATTAAGAGAACCTCGAATTCTCAATGGTTAATAATTAAATGCTTACTGCAAAAAGTATTACTCAAGAAAAAATTGCCAGAATTATTGTGATTTAACTTCTTTAATAGCACCGTTGAATCTTTATTATCCTTAACGAATGATTTTTTAATATTATGTTACATAAACCTGTTTACACCAAGAATCAACTACTTTATACATCAAAATGAGCATAACGTGATTCAAAGTCAAGTCTAGAACAAAGATTAATGTATGTAAAGGTATAATTGTAAAAAAAATGTTTTTAATTGTCCGGCATCTACGTCCGGTGGCACACATGCTTTTTTTAAAGAAAACAGACAGACAATATACGAAGACCGCCTCTGATCCACCCACAACATATATTCGCCGACATCAAAAAGTAAATACAGTACTTTTAACTTTTTTTGCGCTACTAAAATTGCCTTTAAAATTAGTTTTTACTATTACAGCTGTAAATTTTCACTTTCACTTTAAAATTGTTTGTGGGATGATGTAGAAAAACAATTTGCAAAGACAACTGAACGTCATTGTGACGGAATCAACACAATAAAACTGCTCGCTGCTCCTTACTGTCGCCCGCTCCTTTGATTTCGTCGCATGTCTGTCGCGTACTTTGCGCTTGGTCTGAGCAAACTGAAGCAGTTTTAGAGCAGGAAATCCTAGTATCCTGACATCTACTGTCACGCTGATTTTAAAACTTATTGCTTTGTCGTTACATTGAAGAACAATTAAATGAAAAGGTACTCAAGGATAAGTCTGATCTTCCGATGAATAAATTTAGCAAAAGAATTTAAATTTTATTTTTCTCTACCAATATTTGAAAGTTGTCGGAAAAGTGCAGTATGCAACTCACACGGAATACTGATCTTTCGTTTGATTAAACTGTGACAGATGACTTAAATTCAGCCCGCAAAGTACCTTACTCTTAATTTCGAAATTTACTATTTCAAATCAGCAACTAGGGAGTTGACAAGTTTAGGTTGAAATGATCATAATTTACTTATTATTCTCGGTAAAAGCAAAAAATGGAGTTATTTACGAACTCTTCGTTGACGAAAGTCTCAACGCGACGATTAAAGTGATAAACAACAACTTAATATGTAGTGTTAGGGCAGAGATTGGACTTTTCCAAACTGTGGTTTGAACTGGAGGGAGATTTTACTTTTTGCAAAATATATACGTAACAGTTAACAAAAACGATACTTTGACAAGACACGGATTATCCAAATGAATCTTCAATGCGGATCTTCGGCAAATCCTTTACTTCATTTTTCCCAAAAAATGCCTTTCATATCAAATTTGAAAAAATAACAATGTGTACGTACTCATTTTGGCTTAAGCTGACGTTACCAAGTGATCAGTGGGCTACTTGATGTACTTTTGCTTACCTGAAAAAAGAAACTTAATTTAGCCATGGTACTTGTAAGATAATAAAATAGTTAAACATACATTTTTCTATATATTAATACATATACCTGACTCACAATGATTTTATTTTATTACGCTATGCATTTACACAAACACTTCGTATTTTAATTACATGGTTCGACACAAAAAGAAAACACAGGAGTAAAGTTAAAATGACGATTCAACTTACTTAGATACGCTTAGGTACGAAGTTAGTAAAATGTCGTTACTGATTCTGAATTTCCGATTATTGTTTTTTACAGCACCCACGCATAGCGCCTAGAATTTTTGTATTTATTATTTCTGAACCTATGCGTGTCTGACGAATTTTATCAAGTGATCTTTTTTTATTTAGGTTAACGTACAAATAAACTGCACTGTGTATCTGATTTCATATTCCTATGCAAAAAGTTTTGATTAAAACCAAAACCACGAAATAGGAAAACTTTCGCAGATCCATAATTAGAGTATTTTCCTAAAGATAACAAAAACTTTGCGTAGTCTAGTCTTGTGCCAAATTTCATCGAAATTCTGGTAGCGCTTAACAAAGATTTAGATGATTTTAAAGCTCACAAATATAGTTTATTTTTAAGAACTATATTTCTAGCAGGAACGTCCGGCTATCTAATTCATGTACCTCTACACATTTAAATAAGTATACACGAGAAGTTCAATACACAACAAATCAAATAATGCACACAATCCATATGAAAAAAAAGTATTCTCATTTCACTCTAAAGTGCGAAACTGTTACTAAATTACAAAGCTTTTTGAAAATTTATTGATTTAAAACAGGGATACTCTTTAATAAATGTTCTGATAAAACAGCAACACTGATTAACTGTTTTAAACGAAATGTTTCAATGAGTATGTACAAAAATGGTGTTAAATCAGCCAAACAAGCGTTTCAACAAATACTAAAAATTAATGCTTTTTTAAAACTCGGTTTTTCAGAAATTTTTATGACCAATAATGTTATTTCACAAATTAGATAGGGGAAGTAAGAGTACATAGGGTAATTTTGACGAATGTCGAACTTCATGTTTTTTAGGGGTTTACGGTTCGTACAATGCGAAACTTAAATTTTCCTTTTTCGAAACTATAGAACTAATTACTCTGAAATCTTAAACTTTGCGTTTTAATAATCGAAAACAAAAATGATTCAAATCTGCTATAACATCCGTGTCAAAAATATTGCATTTTTTTTAACAAAACGGTAATGGAGTTATTCCAAAAAATGAATAAACAAATTTTTATAAAAAAATATATAATGAATGAATGTTATTTTCCTTCCCAGACGACTGTATTTACGTGTAAATAACTGTACAGCTTCTTAAACAATGTAGTGAACGTTGGGTGGGCAGTGTTTTTTAAATGAAGAGAAGAGTAACTGCATCAGGAAAAAAAATTAAAGAAATTAGCTTTTTGTATCTATCAAATATATGCTGTAAGTCAAACAACAGCCCAATTACGGATTGAAAAAAATCGTGCTACTTCGTTAACCCCTTATTCTGTGAGTGCTTTGATAATTTACAATTTTTGGGGGTATAGCAGGGCTGGGAAAAAATTAACTAAAAAAAAAATTAACGCTGTTTTTTAAATCATGAGTTTTGATTTTTTTGGTTTTTTAATTATTTGAAATTAAAACTCAAATAGAGCAGCAAGAAAAATCAAAAGTTAGGTTTAATTACGTCTATCAGTTTTTGATGGAGATTTCTAAATATATACATCATTGAGTTATTTTATTTTTCATTTTCCACGTACATACATATTTTAACACACATTCACATGTCGTGAGTAATTTGAGTAATAAAAAGAATTTATTTTCATTCATGTTGCTAAATAGTAATAGTGTTATTTATGTTTATCGGAATGTTTTGTTCTACCTGTTCTTAAAATAAAAAATTGGTTTAGGGTAGTAGACAAAATTTCCGTGACTCCTGAAATACAAAAAAAAAATTAAAATTTGATCATATTTTCATGATAAGTTAAATAAATCGAGGCGTATTCGTAGACCGCAAGTTTAGGATTGTTATTTTATAAATTTTGAATAGCCATTCTATGCAAAATTTTTAGGTGACGTCATCAAATTCTTGCTGGGGATAATCAGACAAATTTTGATGATTATTTTACCATCTAGACGATATTCCTAACAGATAAAAAGTAGTACAAGAAGACATACGCAAGCGACTATTTGCTACATTTGGTAAAATTTAATTTTTAACTTCAGAAAAATTTGTTTTTCAGTTCATTGCAACTGAGGAAAGCGAAAATTATTTTTAAAACATGAGATAACAAATTTTTAGTCTCTTTGACAACTACGAAAAAATGCCAACCAGTTTAAAATTTAAATTGCATAACAATAACGATGCTTTAAAACAATTTTATTTTCATTTAATATTAATTTTATGTAACCTTTTATATAACAAATGGGAACGTTGATCTGGCAAAGTACTCTTTCGTTGCTTTTTCTTAATTGTCCCATGTAAAGAGAAATCAAGACTTCTGTTTTAAACCCGTTGTAAAATAAGTTAAAATCTTTAGATTCGATACATGCACCACCGTTTTTCAAAGCTATTTTATTCTCAGACACTTTTCTATAGATAATATGACTAAAAACTTGTTTACCGTTACTTGTGATCCCCTACTCAACGAACTGGCAACTTTGATTTGAGAAACTGTAGCTTGTGAGTCTTTGTAGCTCCAGCATGAAAAGAAAATCTGCCAATGTAAAACAAGTTGGAAGCGTGGAAAGGAACGAGGGTCCAGTTTACTTTCTCACTTAAAAAAATTTACTTACATCTATGTAACATTCCCAAAAAAAGATTACATTCATCTTCATCGAAGTTGCTTAATCGCAATGTAAAATCAACACATTAAACAAGAAAGTCCGACGGTGGAAACTAATTAATGACAATAATGTCGGATTTTGTACAGGAATCAATCAACACCAGCTCACAAATTTTGGATTTTCTGAATACCCAAACAATTATCTATTCCGTAATTAGATATACATAGGCAAAATGTCCCCACTAATGCTGTCACAGATAAATATACCACGTGGAATTTTACTGGATTTAAAAGTTCATAAAAAGTTTATGACTCCATCAAATGCAAGTAGTCGTATGTTATTAATGAGATTTGATAATTGCTTACAATGCGCAATATATTCGCAACAAAAGATTGATTACCATACTTATTACAACAATTTCAGATCACCTTCAAGCATACAATCCAATTTTAATTAAATATTTATTGTAAACGACAGTAATAATGCAGTAATACTCCACTACTATAATATTATAATTTATAACTAAATATATAATAATTAAGCATTATCGTTGTTATTTTTAACCAGTAACCGCTATTAATAAAGTTAATATGTTTACGAATACCTCAACAGTTTTTGTAGAACTTCATTCAAAATGAGAATGAATAATAATTATCCAAAAAGTACAATATATGTAACTAATTAATATAAATCCAATGCCATTAATTACGAAACTGTCGGATGTTGGCTCGATAAGAATCTTAATGAATTCTAGTTTTATTTTACCAGTAAAAGTTAGTTTCAAAAGTTGGACGCACAATTACTACAATTCAGAATTCCTTTAGAGTTTTAGACATGAAACATACGTTTTTAGATTTGTCAAAGTTTCCGAATTCTTGTAAGTAATGCATGCACGAATTGCTTTAAAGGTATTCAACCAGCAACAATAACTTTTCAAAACACTTCGACATTTAAATATTTAAGCAGTCGTAGCTAATATTACATAGTATCTCATTAAGTGTCCCAAAATGTTAATTAATTGTGAAAGTCAACTTAATTACGCCAATTACGTAACATATATGTAACAATGAAAAAACAATTGCATTCTTAAATTAACATAACAATAATGAAGTTATCTACAACAAAATAATGTAAATAATCGGTATTTAGTTTATGCCGTGTACAGACAAAATGATTCCTATTAATCGAAAAGGAAATAAATACAGGTAATTGTCATTCAAGGTAAAGTTAGTTGTCACAATTCGAATTTCTACACTGTTCTTGCTTTAATTTCATTGGCTGTAAAACAAACCGTAATTTTCAGCAAGTCTTTCTACACTGTACTCATATTACGTCACGCTATTGTTCCGGCAACATAGCGTATGTGATAACAGTTGACAATTAACCAGCGATGTAAATCTATGTTCAGTTTTTAAAATGTTCATCAGTTTTATTTTTGAAACAATTATTGTTATGATAAATAAGAGTACTAACCGAACACGTATTATTTTATTTTGTGGTATATTTAATAACTCCAAAATAAACGCCTGAAATGTTAACCACCGAGGAAGTATATGGCTACATCTAGACAAGTTATAATTAGGTATTTTCAACAAATCTGTACTTTTATAGCCAGCGTACAAAATCATTACTTTTTTTTATTTGTTTAGGATGTATAAGCTACAGGTAGCTCATAGTATTATTTATATTTCATGCGTTATGAACACAGCCTTCAAAGTGAGGAAATTTTAACACGAGGTCTTTTCAATCAAGATCTTCAGAACTGGTAGTCGGTAACGAATGTTAACTTTCGCTTTTTTCCAATCCGAATGACGTCAGATGATGATCTCAAACAAATCCGTATTTAGTGTTTACACCTGTTGTAGGTATTGTTTTCAATTGTCTTACTCAACAATAAAGGGAATTGTTACAAGCAAATTGTAGCACTTTGATGTAATGATCGGATGACTGCATGTTCTTCAGCTATTACATATGCAAAGAAGATAATAAATGTCTGAAATAATAGCAGCATTTGTTCTTGTCTTGTATCCTCGTTTATTCTAGGACCCGAAATATCCGATACTGTAATGTCCTGGAAAATAGGCTATTATTTAAAGTACGAAAATCAAACGATAAATTACACACCAAGAAAGAGAACGTAAAAATTAGCATTCAAGCAAAGTTAACATAACGGTGTAAATTAACGATTTA